GAGTGGCTACTGCACTCCAGTCTGGGTGACAGAGTGAGAGTCCAACTCAAAAAAAAAAGAAAGAAAAAAAGCAATTCCCACTTTTTTTTTGCCATGTCATACCCCCTGAAATGCCAAACTCTGAACTTTTACTTCTTCACAGCATCTCACCGCTTGGCCTTGACATCTGCTCTCCTCACAGAAAGTTTCCCTAATGGTCACCAGTGGCTATCTTCTCACACTCCTGGACTGATTGAGCGGCAGGTGTTTGTCTCACTTCAGCATCTGTGGCTCCAGTTCTTTGGTGACAGGAAGTCCTAGAGGGGACCCAGGCTGTTTATGGACCGATCAGGACCTGGGAGTCACAGGGCATGAATGAGCTTTTCCCATATCAAGCCAGAATGCACTCACACATGCTCTCCTGACAAGGGCATCAGCCACGGAGCCCAAAGTGTTGGATCCTTTTACTGTCAGAGCATGCTGTCTACACTGCTGCTGTCATCTCTTCTACAACAGAAGAAAAGTGGACAGTGATCCCACAACCTCCTGTCACAGATGATACCAGGAGGGCGAGAAAAGGCAGAATGAGTCCATGTTTTGCTTTGGGTCCTTCTCCTGCCCAATCCCTGTGTGCCACCCCCATCTCCTGCCCTGCCTAGATCATTGCAGGACTCTTCAAATATCTTTTTTTTAAAAAAATTACAAACCCTTAAAACCTAAAAAATGTGGACCATTAGAAAATGCTAATTATCCAAACCATAGAAAAACTAGGTGGAAAATTGTCCCCTTTTCTGCAATTGTTGTTTCTTGGGCTGACCTCATGTTGCAGCAAGACTCAGACATGAGGTCATTGCTTCGGGGCTCACATACACTGCTTCATCCACTCTCTCCCACTGGCTCCCAGACGCCGCGGTGAGGTGACCTGAGAGCCCGGAGGCACTGGTGGAAACTTCCAAAGGCATTTTTTGATTTTAACTTTTCCAGTCAGTGTGTATTGCCCCCACCCCACAAGGATCACTATTGCAGATCCAGACAGTGGCTTGTGAATATGGAGAGTCAAAGGCCCACTGTTACAGCGGAGAGCAGACAGGGAGCTAATCCACCCAGAGCCAATAAGATCAGGAGAAGTGGGTCCCAGGGGTGTTGTCCATGGATCTCAGCTTTTGATGGGGACTTGAAATCATCAAAAATCTTTCGAAAGCTGAACTGCTGCAAGACCCCCAGCAGGCTTGGCCACTCGCAGTAGGTGCAGTGTTCCAAGGTTGCCCTGTTTGCCTTTGCACAGGGCTGATTGTTAGAAGATCCCTCAGAAAGGGAGCCCATATCTGCCTTCCTGTGGCTTCAACCCCCCGATCCTAGCATCATCTTTTCAGGTCACAGGACAGCCCTTCAATACTTGGGGGTAGCACTGATGGACACCTGATCTGAGTTTCTAATGAAGCATTAAGGCTGAAAGAATTCCATTCCTTCGCTCTGTGTATATTTCATATCGAATGAAATTCATATCAGATTGATGGGCACTTGATGCTAGGGAACTGTGTACTCGATAAATCCCTTGGACAACTGCCTGCTTCCTTTCCTAAGCTCACTGTGTCCAAAGCTCTTTCACTCTCCTGTTGTACTAGGAGCTTCCAATAGACCCTAACACATGTATAGCATTGATTACTCTCCCCATTTAGCCAGGAAGTGTGCAAGTAGCTGCCCTGTAAGGTGGGGTTAGAGGGCGTCAGAGTTCCCCAAGGATAAGAGGATGCTAGTATGTAAAATTTCAAAACCTTAAGCCAAAAAGCCATGAACCCAGAGTTTCCTGGGTTCATGTTTAAAGTTCCTAGGAACTTTAAATTGTTGCTTAGGAAAACACCAATGAGAGCACCCACCTCTACGTAATTGCAGGTTAAAGTCGTTTTGGAAAGGGGTTCTCATGGGAAGAATATAACCAGCTTCTAGAAGATCCTCCCACCCCCTTCCCCCAGCCAGGTCACAGCTCCCTGTTTCTCTCCATTCCTCATTTTACTTCCTTGACACTCAGGACTGGATCTGTCCCTTGCATGTGGGTCTTCCCACGTGATCTTGGCAACGTTACAGGCCCAACCGTGCTACTTCCATGGCATCCGCCCAACACATGTGGGCCATACCAACTTCCTTTCCCTGGGCTGGCTCCACGGGGAGCGAGCAACCTTGCAGAGCTTCCTCCCAGCCCTGGGCGCTTAGGCTGCACTTACTTTCCCTGAGGTAACTGAGGTGTGACAACAGCACTTCCGTGTTGTAGAGGGTGGTGGCTCGGAGGAAGTCCTCCTTGTTCATTTTACACAGTTCCTTGCCATCCATGTTCTGGAAAAAGGACGTGTCGATCTCCATCAAGCCATACTCCTTTATGGCCCACTCCAGCCACTGCCTCACGTGCTCCTGTGTCCACAGCGTGGGGTCTGCAGAGGAGAAAACGCTGTTAGCAAGGGCTGCGTGTGGGTGGGAGGCTCAGTAGGCAGCACCGGCAGCCTCCCTCTCTCCCCCACCCCCATCTCTTCCTCTTTCCCTTCTCTCTCCCTCTCTCTGTGGCTAAGCCAGCTCCCTTCCAGATGGTCCCCACAGAACACCCATCTGGCTCCATGACATCTGGAGCTGCCTGAGCCACTTAGCACTCTGGGGAGGTTTGTAGCTGCCTCACTATGTATCCTGACAAAGCACTACATTTAAAGTTTTGAGGGGGCAATCGAAAACTTTGCCTGGGAAATGGTGGCATCAAAATGAAAATAAACACAATTCCACAAGCCCAGAATATTAATTATTTCATAAAAGAACACGGGTTCCTCAGATGGTTATGGGAAAGAAATATATATATATATATATATATATATATATATATATATATATATATATATATAGGCATTTACTGCAATTCCATCTGTGCAGTTGGAAAACCCGGTGGTGTTAGTCTTTAACATAAACCCAATCTGGGTTTTCTCTTTATGAGGGCAGCTTTGTTGGAATTTCTACCAGATCATCCCCAAAACATTTTTCAGATACTTAAATACTGAAAGCTGAGAAATGGTGTTAGAGAGAGAAAACCTTTTAGCCCTTGAGTGAATGTAAATAATGTCAAGTCTGAGGCCATCTCCAGTTTAGGACTCTTGAGAGACTCTTTCTCAGCCAGGAGTATGTGTGTGTGTTAGGGAGGGTGTACTTTGCGCACAAGTGATAAATTCCAGCAAGTTCCACAGGAGGGAGAACCCTTATTATCTTATCACTTATCACAGCCTGGATTGGCAATTGGGAACCAACTGTTAGTGGGTTCAATAAACAATATGCTTGCTAAGCCGGCTTGGTGGCTCAGCCTGTAATCCCAGCACTTTGGGAGGCTGAGATGAGTGGATTGCCTGAGCCCGCGGGTTCGAGAACACCTGGGCAACTTGGTGAGACCTCATCTCTACAATAAATCAAAAAATTAGCCAGGCATAGTGGTATGCACCTGTAATTCCTGCTACTTAAAAGGCTGAGACGCAAGGATCACCTGAGCCCAGTAGGTCGAGGCTATAGTAGCTGTGAGCATGCCACTGCACTCGAGCCTAGGTGACAGAGTGAGACTCCAACTCAAAAAACAAAACAAAACAAACAAATAAAAAACCAATATGCTCATCATAGAAGAAAATGACATGGTGCTTGCCTTCAAGAAACACCTATCCCGTGAAACACTTAGGTAGGAAAACACGTGGGTTTTATGGTCTGTAGTTCAAGAACTCATAGATGGAAGGGAATAGCGTAAATGTGGAGTCATGGAAGGCTTCCTGGAGAAGGAGAGACTTGGCATTTTATTGCATGCTGCTTATGGCCACCATGGCCTCTACCAGCTGGGCTCAGGTGATCCTTCCACCTCAGCTTTCCAAGTAGCTTGAACCACAAGAGTGTGGCACCATGCCCAGCTAATTAAAAAAAAAATTTATTGTAGAGATGAGGTCTCACTACGTTGCCCAGGCTGGTCTCGAACCCGTGGGCTAAGGCAATCCTCTTGCCTCCACCTCCCAAACTGCTGGGATTACAGGTGTGAGCCACCGCACCTGGCAGTCCCCAGCTTTTTATGGAGCTATTTTATTTATCATAATTATTTGGCAGGGATATCTGTGCTACCCTTCAGCCAACTCACCCTCTCATAGAGTGTCTATGAAGGCTCTTGACAAAATGGAAACAGGATTGAATGATCAGGAGTGGGCCTGGGGAAAGAAGCAAGGCTCTGCTGTCTCTCCCACACCTTGCAGCTGGGTAGCCAGAGGCAAACTCCTCGGTGCTTTGACTGTGAGCTTCTAGACGCTGCCTGCCCTTGTTTGGCATGGGCTCTCCACCTCCCCTTGGCTCTTACCTGTGAGAATTGGGTGGCAAGGGCTGAGTCTGCTCTGCAAAGTGCCCAGTCCCAGCCCATGCATGCATGGGAGTGATTGCTGTATTTGTTGCTGGTGGTGGAGGAGCCGACAAGAGAGGAGGGGTTAGAGTAAGAGACCTTGGGGTCATGGGTCACAGGGTGCTGCTGAATGTCATGTGGACAGCCAGTGCTGGTAACCAGATGGTTCAGATAGTGGTTGCTTACTATGTGCCAGCTGCTCTACATACCTTATTTTTACTTTCAAGGAAATCATGCAATATCCCCATTTTATTGATGGAAAGTGGAGTCTTGAAAGGGTAAATCACTTGCCCAAAGTCCCATCACTGGTAAGCATCTGAACCAGGGTTCCCCTTGAAGCCTTCATAGGACTTCACTTAGCTTAAGAGGTAGGTCCCCACAAAAGCCACCTCTCTTCTCACCTCACCTGTGAGTTACTCTGCTAGAATTCTACAAAGAAGAGCTCCTCTAAGGCATCATTGTACAAGTATGTAGTCATCTCTCTCTCAGTTACATTTCTTGCTTTGTTTTACTCTCTTATTCTCCAAAGCCATTAAACATGGATCACTGGCAAATGGAAATAATTTTGCACTTTTTCATAATTCTAAAGAAACATTTTCTGAGGGGAGTTGGATTATGTGGCATATTATTTCATCCTTCACTTCTCCTAATTCCTCACTTTTAGTATCCAAGGACTCAAATTCAATTTTCTACCATACATTTTATTTATTTTATGATGTCTTCCCTTGCTCTAGGCTCACGACAATATTATTTCTCTCCATCTATAGCACAATGAATTGTAAATCTTCCACTCTGGATCGTGCTAAACTCTTCCAAATGTATTTCCTGGATGATTTAGTCCTAGTTTCTTTCCATCTGAACATGGAACTGGTGATTAACTAGGGCCGGCATTTATGCTTGCCCTAAAATCCCATCATAAATTCGATCGGTTATGCCACTGATACTTTACTGCTTTGATTTGTGGAGTTGCCAAAATGAGACTTTCCCTCATGTCCAGAAGGCTGACCCAGAGGAAGCCAAAACATCTGAGGATCTAAAAAGATCTAGCCAGAGGTAAAATAATAAAGGAAATCCATAGCTTGTGACTTCATCACACAAAGTGCTTTGAAAATGGGTATGAGTTTATGCTATTTTCATTATCACTGCCATAGTTAACTCGGCCCGCGGAAGCCTGACGTTTCGCTATTACTCTTGAAAGCATTTCAACACCGATTGAGGGTTGGTCAAGCAGTCTGGGCACTTCTGCTGTCTTTCCATAGTCCTTTCCAAGAATGAGGACCAGCATGAGGTGGTACCAACAGCCGGTTCAGAGGCAATTGCTGGTCCCCTAATACTTCAGTCCCTCAAGATTTCCCTCCCATGTTGGAGCTCTTTGGCTGAGGCAGGAGAGTGTGACACCATTTGAACAAAGGTCTACTGAGGCTCAGCTTTGTCTTGAAAAGAACAAAGAGGTTCCCCATTGTATCAGTTTTTATATGGTTTCATTGCATGCCAGTTTTTTTTTTTTTGAGTTGGAGTCTCACTCTGTCACCCAGACTGGAGTGCAGTGGCCTCTCCTGACCACTGCAGCCTCAACCCACTGGACTCCAGCGATCCTTCCACCTCAGACTTCCGAGTATCCGGAATTACAGGCACTTGCTACCATGCCCGGCTGATTTTTTGATTTATTGTAGAGATGAGGTCTCGCCAAGTTGCCCAGGCGGGTCTTGAACCCTTGGGCTCAGACAATCCACTCACCTCAGCCTCCCAAAGCGCGGGATTACAGGCATGCCCGTTTTAATTTACTTTCATGGTCTGCTTCCTCTAGGTGAGGAGGGAGAAGATGTACAGTAAGTCCCCTACATACAAACAAGTTCTGTTCTGAGACTGCATTCCTAAGTCCAATTTATTCGTTAAGTCCAACAAAGTTAACCTAGGTACTCAGCTAACACAGTCAGTTACATCAGCTGCTTTTATGTTTGCTTCTGGACATCCTGTGCTTGAAATAAAGGCACTTAAGTACTGTGCTCTATATAGTACTATTTAGTAAAGTATACAAAAGCACAACCACTTGTATAGGATGCACGCATGCGACAATGTACACTAGACATGTGAACTAACTTAAGTGATTGGACATGCAACTGTACATTTGCATCTTTGAAAGTTCACAACTTGAAGGTTCGAGAGTAGGGGATTTACTGCTCCTGGGCTAAATATTAGTGGCTGATCTCCTGAGGGAAGAGGGAGATCAATTAGTGATATCACCAGTGTCATGGAGATAAAGTAATTGACATGGTGCCTGGCACCTAGAAATCTCTCAATCAGTAGAAGGTATTTTTTCTCTTCCTTTGTTAGTTCACATGTGAACTGCTTTATGAGTGGTTTTAAAGTCATTTAGGGTCCAGAGAGGTTCCCATAAGCTCCATCCTTCTCTCCTGCCTCTTGCTCATACACTCTTGAATTTGACCCAGAACACATGTGACTATAGTCCCAGCAGATAGTGAGCCACAGCTTCCCATGGGAATCAAGCACAGAAGGCCGAGGCAGGAGAGGCCCATCACAAAGTCACGCCTTCAGATCAACAAATAAATTTCTTTGGACTACCTCAAAGAGATGTCTGATCTTTTGCCTTCAGACACAACTGCGTTTACACTTTTACAAATAGAAGGGGCTGTGCTTCTTTGGTAATGCTATTTTGGTAAGACCAGTTTTCATCCCTGCCCTGTGATTCACTTTGATTTAGACATTCTCGCTCCTTCTACCTGGCACCAGTTCTACATGTGGCAGCTTTTAAACTCCCTTTCTGTCCAGCTTTTAAACTCCCTTTCGCTCCTTGCTGGTGCTTGCTGAGGCAGAGTGTCCAGCCAATGGACTGGAGGATTGAACAATGATTTTATTTTCTGTAACCAACAGCACCAAAACCTAGGAAAAAGAGGCTATTTTTGCCTAATGACATAACTCGTTGCACACATGTTAAGGCGCTCCATTTGTTAAATATAGTTATTTCTATTTTAAAACTGAAAGAGCTGGCTGTAATTTTGGAAAGGTGGAACCCGGCAGATGCCAGGAAGTACATGCCTGAAGGGAAGGACAGACCTCTACTGCCAACCTCCTCCTCAAAGGCAAGAATGCCCACATCTGGGAGCTCATGAGACTCCTTTTGGGTTGAGGAGGCCTTGCCTCTGCTCTCCCTGCAGGCCCTGTCCTTGGGTACCAGGCCACTGATGTAGAGTCTGTGAGGATGTCTGTTTGAGGGCGGGGTTTCCAGAATCCACAACATGGTCCTGGTGACACTTGGGACACTGGCTTGAAAGGCTGCTAGGGAGTAAGTAAGATATGTGGCTTTCCCAATTTGCCTTTCCATAGAGAACTGGAGACAGCTAAAGGTTGAGATGGCCCCAGCGGTGGCCTACCCTTCAACTACTGGCCCCCAGAAAGTGGGGAAGTGAATGCTGGCCAGGCAGCCTGGTTCCCAAAGTACCTGCGGGGACGATGACTCTCCTCTCGTTGGTGGTCATGTTGGGAGGAGGGGGGCCGTTCTTCTCATCCATGTAGCTGTTGTAGTTCATGGGGTTGGACTCGCCTCCACCAACGAGCTTGCTGCATTTGCTAACACTGCAGTCCACCGGAGACTCCCTAGAGCGAGAGGAGACAAAAGTCCAAAGGAAGTCATCACTTGAAGGGCAGCTCACCCCAGGCTCAGAATCATGGGCCCACTGCTCTGAGGATGACTGAAGAATCGTCGCCCAGCCCCACTTGGTGTCATGATGATGACAACGATGACAATGATGCCCTATTTCTATCCTCCACACTGCCACCAGCATTTTCTTCAAATCCCAGCCCAATCCTATAATTATGGTACGCAAAAACTTTTGGCAGCTCCGTAGTGCCCTCAGACCAAAGTCTGAGCTGCTCCGTTGGGCGCTGCAGCCCTCCCAGTCTGATGGCAGCTTACATTTTTAGCCTTATTGCCAGGCAACCTGGTCCTCGTCCCAGACACGCCTTCCCTACAGTCGCCCAGCACTTTGTGTCCACCTTGGTTACAGGACTTGTCACACCATGTGATCGTTAGCTTGGTCTGTGCTGCGTTGTGCGTTTCTTGAGTTGTGCTTGGTCTGTAGCTCCCCTTGCTGCGTTGTGCGTTTCTTGAGTTGGTGTCGTCACCTTTTTTGTTTAACTTCCAGTACCCTACATCGTGCCTTACATAGGAGGTGAGCCATAAATGTTTTTTCAATGAGTTGTTTCTACTGCACGTACATAATTTTAATGCATTTCTCATATACTCTTATATTTGAATTTCCCAAGAATTCCCCCAAGATAGGCACAGCAAGGTTGACGATCTCCTAACGCTAAGAAAACCGGGAGGTGAGATGGGCTTTCTGACTTGGGGTCACACAGCTAGTAGCAAGACTCAGGTCTTGCTAGCAAAGCACACATGCAAAAGAGCTGGCAGTTGCAGGAAGCAGGGATAGAATTCAGGAACTTCAACCTGAGATGGAGGTTGCGGCCCTCATGGCATTTTGCAACCCTGGTTGCCAAGCTCAGAGGGGAAGCATTAAGGACATGCATGAGGGAGAAAGCAGATCACACAACTTAGCCTTGAACTACACAGCCCAATTAGCACCTGGTATTTTGCAGTATCAGTGATTGAGTAGTCGTCTGGAGAGCTGGGCTGACACCCCACCTGTGGCCGCCTGGTGCCCTGGAGCAGACTGGCAAAAAACACTCTACATGCCTCCCAGCCCAGCGTCACACACCTCCGGTGTGCCCAGGGGAGGTGTCATCCTGCCCCGTTCGGCTCTCGCTCAGCTACTCCAGCAGCAGCAGGACCAAAGGAGACGACAGGAAGCCTGAGGAGAGCCTGCAGTCGCGGTTATACCGAGCAGGAAGCATCGGTTCTGGCAGCCTGGGAGACAGCCAATTCTCTCAAGAGCTCCAAACCAGGCCTTCAGACCCAGGAGTTCAGATAAGGTTCAGATTACAGCCTTCCAATTCTGGGCCGCATAACCTCTCCGGACGTTCCAAAGGCCTGGCCACTGCTCTTGGTCCCCTGCTGTGGGCAGGAACAGACCACCAGGAGACCTTAAGGAGCAGGGCCATACCAGATAAGGACCCACCCATCTCCACAAGCAGGAAGAGTAGTCACTAGCCAAGGAGAAGGGAGAACATCCCAGGGATTCCTGAGACTCAGGCAGGGTGGGGGAGCCCAGAGCACATTCAATAAAGAAAATTAAATGAATTTGTTTCTTAATCTGAAAGGAAAAAAATATTGAAGATCACTTATCATAGCTGGGAGATAAATGCTCCACTGAGATATTAGAAGTCAGACGGTAATTTTTTCCTGATGTCTTACAGAGGGGAACATGGGCTGAAAATGAAAATAAGATGTATAACTTACACATGTTAGAATTTAAGGTTTTACTATTCGCCTACTGTTTTTCCAGGCAGAGAACCAAGAACCAGCCGTCAGAGTCCCAGATTGTTGAAGGTTTAATGTCCCCATGGCAGTTGAAGGGGAGGCAGTAGCACATCAGGGCTTTTCACCAGTGTTCGGCCCTTTGGCTTCTGCTGCTGAAGGACTTGGCCTGAGATGAAGCAGTCCCAGTCAGGCCCCGGTGCCTGTGTCTGAGCTGAGCCCTGGCCCGGGTGCACCAGGTCCTTACACCCACCCTGCGGCTAACTGCATGCATGCACATACACATGCAGACACATGCACACGCGCACACAAACACACATGCACACATGCATACACTCCACCCACACACACATACACATTCCACTACACACACCCCACACCACCGCAGTCTGGCAGCCTTTCCCAGCATCCTCATCAGTTGTGAAATAGCCTGAGTTCCGCAGAAGTCTAAAGGATTAAGTTGGCCGGCAACCAAGAGAGCAAGGTTTCCATTGGCCGGGCGGCCTCTGTGGGAGACGTGAGGTTGACACAGCACACTCTTCCCCTGAAGGATGCTCAGAGTAGTGTCAGTGGGCTGGGGATGGCCGCTCCATGGGTTTCTCCCGCTTTGGACATCAGGGAGATGGTTTTTGAAAAATTATTTTCCACATCGGCTGGCTCTCTGGGAATTTCTGAGCTAAAGACTGACCTCTTGCCATGCAAAGAAGTCAGCACCTCAGGTATCACTGAAATTAAGTGACCCTTTTGGTGTATGGCCATGGGTAGGCACAGAGGGCAGGACAAGTCCTTGGTGCCACGAACAGAGAGAAAAGTAAATTTGGAAAGAGGAAGCATTTTGTAAAACCTTCCTGATGAATGACCTAGTAAGCAGAGAAGCCACGAGCACCCCAGCGAGGGGGTGCCTGTATCAGAGTGGTGTGGGGGAGGTGACACACAGGGCTCTCTTGCTGAGGTGGCCACTAGCGCTGCCCAATGGGCGGGGCCTCCTTGCTCACTGACCCAAAGAAGTTCTCCTGGCTCTGCTTCCTCCAGCCCAGTGGCTGGGCTCCCTGCCTTCTCCCTCCCTCCTCCAGCCCAGTGCCTGTACTTGCTTTCCAGCTGGGCTGGTGATCTGTCTGACTGCCCACCTGCCAGGGCGCTTCTTCTCTGGAACAAGGCCCTATCCTTAGTCCCAGGCCTCTGCACTAAGACCTGCATGGGGACATCCCAGGGAGAAGCCCGGGCACCCGCCCTGCACCCTACACTAGTCTGGCTGGTCCCCTCTCACTGCTCAGGGAGAGAAAGAAGGAAAACCGTACCTCACCAGCTCGCCTGCCAGACCTCCCTCCATTCTTGCAGTTCTCGGGCACTGTGCCTGTGCTAGACAGTGCGAAGCCATGGGGCTACACAGCTACTGCTGAGGGTGGGTACAGGTGAAGCCCGGCATAAAGGCTGCTCTTTAATGAGGCAGCTGGCGCCTGTGAAGAGGGCTCGATGGAAACAAGAGGGAGGGAGGGATGGGGATGGGGCTTGCCATTCAGCCTGCCTATGCTGCTGCTAATTTGTATTGAGACCTGCACTTACAGCTAGCATGGAGCTGGGGCCCACAGGCAGCTGATGGCACTGGGACAGGTGACAAGAGGGCCTGGGGCTGCCACAATAGAGCAGGGAGGAGGCAGAGGCCCTGACAGTGTAATAACTCAGCACATCTCCATCTCGGGGCCACAGAGGCTACCGCAAAGCTGCCGAGGGTACTGCAGCCTCTGTGCTTCCCTCTCACCACCGGACATAAGCTCTTCATCCTTGGTTTCTGTTTTTGTGTGTTCCATGAATATTGCTAGTGATTTCAAAGAGCTCCCTGCAATCTGTTAGGTGATTTAAAACAAGGTATGAAATAATGGGTGTTTGGATAAAAGGAGATTTCAAAGACCTCCCCCGAATATGACCCCTTTAGCCCATACACACTTCTTCTCTGCCTTTCCATTCAACTCAGAGCAACTGAGTTGCTCGGGTGTATCATCAGGCCCACAGATCTGCAGCCAGGCTTACTGTCAAGGGACACCTGATGTTTACACAGCTAAAATGAGGTCTCTGTTGCTAACCCAGCCACACAGTTGCATTAGGACTTATCACATGTGTCTTCTGCATGGCATGTACATCGTACAGAAATTAAGTAATCTGTCTTGTCTTTAGGATTTCTGTAGGATCCGTGCATAGATGTGACTTTTTTGTTTTTGAAAAGGAGATGCAATAATATAAAAGTAAATTTTAAGAAAAGAGAAACATTGCTGGGCACAGTGGTTCAAGCCTGTAATCCCAGCACTTTGAGAGGTAGAGGCGAGAGGATTGCCCGAGCTCAGGGGTTCGAGACCAGCCTAAGCAACATGGCGAGACCTCATCTCTACAATAAATCAAAAAATTAGCTGGGCGTGGTGGCACATGCCTGTGGTTCCAGCTACTTGGAAGGCGGAGGTGGAAGGATAGCCTGAGCCCAGGAAGTCGAGGCTGTGGTGGCCATGAGTGTGCCACTGCACTCCAGCCTGGGTGACAGAGTGACACTCTGACTCAAACAAATCAAAAATAAAGTAAAATAAAAACATCACCTATCATACAGCCATCACCCTAACCACTAGCTGTTTTCATCTCCATGCACAGTAGATGTTGAGTGCTTTTCCAGAATTCCTGAGTATGCCTTCCCCCCAGGTTATGTGTGGCATGCCTCATATTGCAAGCTTTGGAACATGGGAGTTTAGGAAGGGACTTTGCAGTTAGAGATACACCAGTTCCAGAGAGAGGAAGCCATACCTTCTGGGTGTGGAATGTAGGGCCCTGGGTACCTAGTGCATCCAGACCCTGTGTGCTAGTCCAGGGAGTGTCAGGCCAGGTCTAGCACTGAATCCAGGTCCTGAACACCAGGCTACAAGGCAAGTCTTGCATTTCCCCTCCATAAATTGGTATTCTTTCCTTCACGGGATGTTTTCCCCAATCCCTGTGGTTGAGACAGGATGCAGCTGAGCGTTATTTGCAGACCACAGCTTGGATCAAGTTGCTGAAGTTTACATCCAACACAGAACCTATGGGCCATGCTGTTTCAAGGCAACGCAGCCTGACAGAGTCAACCACAACAGGAAGACAGAAAGAACGGGAACACAAGTCTCCCACAACATCGGCAACCAACACTTTCTCTGAGTTCCTCAGACCTCAGACTCTATGCTTGATCCTTTGCCCTTAGGCCAGATGACTTTCTGCTGGGATATAAAGCAAGAGGCCATTGTAGCGCCAGGTCTACAGAACACCTCCTTCCACCAGAGACACAAACATCGATGGGGGCTCCAGTGAATATAAAGAAGTAACCCAGAACCCATGTTATCAAAGAATGTGAAAGAAATGCTGTGTGAATCACAGGGTAGTCCCAAACATTCTGGCCCAGCATTGTCGACTAGTAGTAGAATGTGATTCCCATAAATAATTTCAAATTTTCTAGTAGCTATATTTTTAAAATAAAACACCACACACAATAGCAAAATCATGGAACCAATCTAAGTGCCCACCAACAACTGACAGGGTAGAGAAAATGTGGTACATAAACACCATGGAATACTACACAGCCATAAAAAAAGAACAAAATCATGTCCTTTGCAGCAACACGAATGGAGGTAGAGATCATCATCTTAAGTAAACTGACTCAGAAACAGAAAACCAAACACCACATGTTTTCACTCATGTGGGAGCTAAATAGTCACAGAGATGTAGACACTGGGGGCACCAATAAGGAGGGGAAGTGGAGAGAGGGTTTAGGGTTTAGGGTTCACTGAGTGTACTCAGTGTTCACCACCTGGGGGGTGGGCTATCTGAGACCCAATCCCCACTGCTATATAATATGTCCATGTAACAAATTTGCACGTGTACCCCTGAATCTAAAATAAAAATGGAAAAAGAAAAAAAAAGTTAAAAATGAAGAGCATTTATAATTTAAAATAAGTGAAAAGAATTTTAATATTATATTAAAATATAATACATTAAAATATATTACTATATTAACTCAATACAGCCAAAAGATTATAATTGTAACATAATCAATAATCAGTGCTATAATTTACAATGTTTCCATACTAAGTCTTCTAAATTCAGTGTGTATTTTACAGTTAGAGCACATCTCAATTTTGGACTAATCACATCTCGTGTACTCAGTAGCAACCTGTGGCTAGTGGCTACTGCATAGGGCAGCACAGGTCTAGCTCATGAAACAGGACATCTTGAATCATATTCCCTGCCTTGGTTTTCTCATCTGAAGTAGGGACCACTACAACAACCTCATCTATCTTTTGTGTTATGGTGGATCAGCCCTCTGTAAATGATCATATCATAATCAAGTGCCATCATCAGTAATACTCAGAGAATATAAGAAGCCCAGGTGCCAGTCTGGCATCTGTTTCATCCTGTTATTTCTTTTTGCATAATTCAGTAATAGGCTCTGACATGGTTCTACCTTAAGCAAAGACATTTTTTTCTAAAAATCCTGGCTTCCTGCTGGCCACCCATCCAGCTTACATGTGGGCACTTAGAGAATTTTTACAAGGTGCTGGCGATGGCTGTGCCTAGCCTGCTTGGCTCTGAGAGTCTACTGGATTGTCTTTGTTTCCTCAGGGTGGTTGAGAAGACATGAGTCTTTTTGGACGTACTTCATCACCTGCTGATGGAATGGGTCAAGGTGGGAGAATCAAAAGCAAAGGCTGCTTCTTTGTGCAACCAAAGTCAGGTAAGTGTCCTGACTGTTCATGGTGGGACTCACACAGCCCTTTTCCTGCTGGCATCTGGTGGCATCTGGTATGGCCAGTACAGGTGGCAGAGGGGTTCTGAAATTCAATTTACTTGGTATCCTGGAGCACTTGAGGCTTCCCTGGCAGCAGGGGAGTGAGCAGGTAACAGCCTTGCTGGCACAATATAGGCTCCTGTTGGAGGGATTAAGTCAGCAGACCTGCTTCTCTGTCCTGGTTATTCACAATTACCTGCTTGGCCTTAAACAAGCAACTTCCCTTTTAAGTCTGCTTGAGCAACTATCATGTGCTACACCCTGCCCACACATCAGTGAGGGAGGTGATAAAAACTAGGAAGAACAACCCTAGCAGAGCAAAGAGTGACTAGGTGCTGGTTTAGATCAGATGATCGGGGAGGTCTCTGAAAAGGTGACATTCAGGCAGAGACCTGAAAATTGTGAGGGAGAGACAAGTCTAGATGGAGTAGGAATGTTCCAGAAGGAAGGATCCCAGGGGAAGAGACTCTGAGCAGGAAGGTGCTCGAGGGCTCAGAAGCAGCAGTTAGAGTCTTGCATGGCTGGTGAGGAAGGAAGAAGTCAGAGGGACAGGGGAGACACACTAAGGACTTTGCATTTTGTCATAAGCCATTCAAGGGTTTTAAGCAAAGGGGTTAAACATTTTGAAAGAATGACCCTGGCTGTCTGGAGAACAGAAGTCTAGGAGAGGTGACGCTGGCTGGGAATGGGGAGGGGCAGCGGGTGTGGGCTGGAGTGGGCTGAGGCTACAGCAGACCAAATGAGGGAAGCTGGGTTCTCAACAAGCATCAGGAGCTTTTTGTGGTTCGGCCAGTTTGGGAGGCATTGCTGAATAGGCCTCCTCACCGGATGGACGTTGGCAGAAATAAGACAATGGTACAAAAGCATGGCATGAAGGAGGGGGCTGTGGGGAGGTGCCTGACAGATGGCACATGGGGCCTGGAGCCAGAAGGCCTAGGTTCAGGTGCAGCTTTGTCTTCTCTAAATCCCAACACAAGGCACTCACCCCTCAAAGCCCAACTTGCCTTCATATGTAACATGGAATTACATTATCTACTGCATAGGACAGTGGTGGACAGCAAATGAGTATACGAAAAAATCTTCAACAAACTATGCCTACAACTTATAGTCATTATTATCTCTGGAGAGAAACTCATTTTAGGGGCTGCTCCTGGCTCCAAACCTCTGAGCCTTCCTGAAATTCTAGAGTCTGGGAAGATGGCCGAGATCCCAGTCCTTGGTTTTGGTTAGTGGGATTGAAATGTGGTAGGGCTGGGAGTTCCCATAGGCAGGTCTGAGACCACGGGCTGCCCTAGAGGAGATCTCCCTCCAACCACGCTCTCACTCCCTTCTCTCTCCTTTCTCTAGACTGGTTTCCTCGGTGACCTCATCCATTTTCACAGTTCAGACTCCTTAGAGATGATGCCCAAACCTCAATTCCAGCCCTGAAATATTATCTAAGCTCTGGTTCCTAAAGCCTAGTAGAACATTTTTATCTGGATATTCTACTGATTTGCTCACAATGAATCTCAAAGAGAACACTGACATCGCTTCCTAAAGCATTTCCTCTCCCTCCTTCCTGTGGCTGCTAACAGCACTGTCCCTCAAAACATCCAGGCTTCAGGAAACTTTGATTCTTTCCTCTCAATATTTATTCACCCAAGTCCTGTTAATCATCTCTTTGATATCTCCTTTTTGTATCTATCTTTTTCTTTTTCCACAAACATTCACCATTATCTTGGCCCAGAAGATTGTTATTGTTTATCTGGGATATTTCACTAACTTCTTTTTTTTTTTTTTTTTTTTTTTAGTTGGAGTCTCACTCTGTCACCCAGACTGGAGTGCGGGGCATGCTCCCGGCCACCACAGCCTCGACCGGCTGGGCTCTGGCAATCCT